TTCCAACACCAACATATGTCGATGAGAAATCAAAGTAAAACCTGCAGTCAATTTACGATCCGAGTTAATATTGGAATTGAGGCATTCATGAGGACAAGACATTAATACAATAGTTACAATAGTTAAGAAAGACTTGTAGACATACTTGTGTGCATAGGCTTTGAGACCAAATGTTGGGAAGCTGGAAAATCCACAGCCATCGGCAGTAGCGAAAAACCACTGGAAAAAGGCAAATACAAAGCTAAAGCAGAAGCTTTTGAAGAGAACAGAAACTTGTTTCCTGCATTAAATGGTTCATAAGAAGAATAAATACAATGAACACATAATCAAAGTCAGGACTCAGGAGAAGCAAGTTCTAAATTTCAAAGGTTTAATTAGAAAATCCAAAGTAAAGCTAGAAATGAAGTCAGTGTGTGTTTTCTTGCTAGCTGATCTCAGTAACGCGTAAAACAAGAGAATGCAAGTTAAATTTAAACACTCCATACTCCCTTGGGAGAGGTTGGGAAGAAACTGAACTTGAAAGTCTGAATGGGATTATTGGACGAGGCCTTTGCTTTGTGCTACTCTCTCTCTTAACGAGCTGAGTTTGAATGAGTTTCAAAAAAATTCAGAGAAGAGGAGCAGAGAAGAAGAAGAAGCAAAATTTTTAGAGAGAGAGAGAGAGGGAGCAGACACCAATTTCACAGAAGAAAAAAGTTAAAAAAAGGTGACATGGGGCCAATAGGGAGCTTTTATAGCATTGCAGCAGGGGACTTTTTTGAATGAATAAAACATTGAAGCCGGGGTCAAAGCCACCACTTTCCCTTAAATTTATATATGTTAGTAAAGCTTACTTGGCTAGCTTGGCTCCTTTGGGTGTATGAAAGCTGTTGATGAGGTATGCAGTTGCAGTTCCACTTGGGTACGTTAACTTGTACTTTATGATCATCATCTGTCGGCAATTGAAGGAAAGAAAACCAATTAAATCTTTGTACATTAATAATATATGTTGTGTTTTGTGTGTGTTGATGATATGAAGTAGTAATTTCACTTTCAAACTACCTTTCTCAGGGCCATAATGGAAAACAAACCGACGAAGCTGACAGCAAAGAGAAATCCAATCATCCATCCCACATCAAGATGCTTGATGTTGATTGGGGTGTTGCCTTCATCTCCTTGAGCAGCAATTTTTGGACTCATCCCCAGTATATAACTTGCAGTACCACCTAATTAATGTCAAACAACATATAATTAATTAAATTAAATTAAATAGATGATCAATAAGCAGCAAAAGAGCATACACAAATTTATTGATATTATATTAACATGTCTCTGACTCTGACTCTCCTCTCTCAACATCCATCCTAGTCGTCTAAGAACAAACAGAGTAGTATTATTATTATATTGTTTTTATCCAAGTTCCAAATGCAAGGCCAAATTAAAGATACACTATTCTAAAAGGTGTAATTTTTGATGTTCTTCTTGCTAGATTCTTTCATATAATATTAATTCTCTCTCTGCTATTAGTATTATATATGAATATAGAGATCTGGAATCTTCCATTCCATTCCATTCCATGAATAACAAAAGAGAATAAATGAATGAATGAATTGAATTTGAAAACATACTGCTAAAGGCGATCCCGGAAGAGGCGACGACGCAAGTTTGGATGACGGTATTTTCTTGGCGAGTGAAGGGCTGCTTCAGGAGGCCACATTTTTCAATCATGGCGGTGTAGCCCTTGACGACGGCGAAACCCATCAAGCCGGCCGCGACATTGAGGGAGGGGATGACACCAGTGGTGAGGTTCAACTTGCAGACGATGAAGTTGAAGACAATGCTCAAGAGAAAGCTGGTGACCATTGCCCTCACAGTTATCTGCTTCGTCCATGGAGGCACCGGCGTCGTCTTGAATGCCTCTTCCACAATCACCTTCTTCTTAGCCGTTTGTTTTACTTCAAAGTCGTCACTTTGAGTATTGCTGCGTTTGCTGACGCTTCTCTCCATGGTTGATTCTTCGATTCGATTTGATCGATCGATCGATCGGCCTTTACGTGTTGGTTTTGTGCCTGCTCTCTCAGCCTTTTTATATATATTTTTGGTTGTGTTAATTTTTAGGAGGGGAGGTCTTTAGCCAGCTAGCATTAGGACGAGTGAAATTTGGGCTCCCAAAACAGAATCCAAAATGGGTTGGAAGAGTGATCCCAGTACTCTCTCTCTCTCTCTCTCTCTCTCTCTCTCTCTCTCTACACACGCTAATTAGGACCCAAAACAAAATTAAAATTTAAAACTAATTGTGATTGTTATTTATAGTAAGAGTAGGAGATAGCGAGTTTCAAGCGTCGCTGTTACATGGACTTTTTGCTTGACACGGACTTGAGAGAATCTGCACTACTTTCTCGAAGATTACATCCTATATGAATCACATAGTTTTTAATTTTTTGAAGCCTGAGTTTTATTAGCTCATAATTTTACCCATATATAAAAAATATTTGAGTACTCTTCGACACCCTTAAAAAAAAATATACCAAATCAACCTAAAACTTAAATGCGATGAATTCCTGCAACTTTACAATCTGAGTGTGATTGGGTTCTAATTTCGAGGGTATTTAAGTCAATTTAAGTCAATTTTATCGATACTCAAGAAATTAGAAGCTAAATTTAAGCTATAAACCTAGAGTATTGGTAGAATAGTTGGCATCAAAATATATTGTAGGGAAATATTTAATTAGGAATTATTAATTCATGTTCCCACTTTAGTTCGGACGGTGAGTGTGTGCATTTAGAATTTAGAATGGATGCATTTTCCCGGGAAATCCTCCTACCTAGTAATTAATTACAATGGAAATTCCAAAGTTGGAGAAGTTTATTTGGACACGGACAAGGTTTGCATTTCAGGCACGCACACAATGATAGGTTGTAAGATGGCATAAAAGTCAGAATGTCACATGAGATTTGCGAGATCCCATACCAAATATATATTTATACAATTTATTTCACTAAAGACCATTGTTTTGTGTATTTTCTTTCATTTAAATGCAATTCCCTTCTTGGCCCTGCACTGCACGGGATGAGTTGTCTCATGCTAAATGATCAAATGTTCAATTCTTCTAATGGATATCTTTGTTGGAAGATTTGGTTGATGGATGTGACTTCCCTTACAAAATATCACAGGAATAATTGTTAATAAATTATAATTTTTATTGACATAGTAAATAAGATGAAATTAATAAAATAACTGAAAATTACTTATCTTTTGGGGCATAGAAGATCTTTCTCCATTCATGTTTGAGTAGAATAATAGCTTTAAGTTGAGGCGTGTCATTTACTGTCCTTAATAGTAGATTTCACCCCTCGGAGATAATGTCTCAGTGTAGCAAGGTTGTATAGTGGCCTACCCTCCATAATACAACAACCTATAACCTTCATAAGTGTACACTCGCAATACTTGGTTCAGATGAATAACTTGAATCTTTATTTGAAAAATAGAGAATGTGGAGGAAATAAAATAAAATAATAATTGCTCAAATGTACTTCAATAAAATTCAAGTTTTTCTATTTAAATCCAGCACTTCTTTTTGTTCACCCCATATTCTAAGCTCACCCCAACTTCTAATTCAAATGTTCATAATTTCTAAGAAAACCACACTATCTTCCCAAATTACCCTTAAATACACACCCAACAACAACAACAACAAAAAACTCATCAACCTCACACCCCACACCCCATACCCCGCTATATTGCCCCTTACCACTCTAAGTTCACCTCAACCTCACATTACTTAAAGAGATAAAAACACTGTTAACAACATTATTTTATAATTATTATTAAGTTGTACTAGATGTTTTGGTTTTATTTTATTTATTATTAAAATTCCAAGGATGTTTTGATTTTATTTTCAGCAATCACACATCATAGTCACCAGAGCTTCTAATTTTGTATCAGCAATCACACTTTTGCATGTGACCATCTTGACTTTAGTCTTTAACATACTCTTCAAGATATCTAAGTCAATTCATCAAAGACGAAGAAACTCAAATTGGCTTTTTTATTTTTTAAAAGGGAAGGGAAAGACAAGAGTTTGATTCAGTCTATGGGTGTAAGGATAACTGTCATACCAGCTGCCTAAGAAACTCAAATTGAATTTGATTTCTTCCAAGTGGTCGAGTGTGCGGGTGTGTGTATGAATGTACTAGGGTTAAGTATTAAGTTGGATGACCTTTTTTGTCTTTTTACACAATAATAAAACTTAAGAGCTTAATGATTTAAGTATTGGAGTGAACAAAAAAAAAAGTGGGGTTTAAATAGAAAAACTCTAAAATTCTGATATCTCTCTCCAACTTAGCTCGAATTATCTTCCCCATTAGCCCGCTAGCTAAGGCTTTTTATAGTTGGTTACATCTCAAATGCATTAAACCAATTGCAATAAAATCACATAAAATTGCCTGCCAGTTTTTGCAAACAATTTCCTACCGTTAGATGCAGCATGCAATGTAAATTAAAAGCTTTAAAAGCTCAACAGCAAATAACCAATTAAATACAAAACCAACTCAAGGCTAAAAACAAAATGAATACACCAAATCAAGACCAAAAAATTAGTCAACCTAAAATTGACGCATAAATATACCAAAATGTTTTTTTTAAATCAAAACAAAGACTATGAAAATAGCAATTGTGGGCTGATTAAAACAAATAACTTACGTCCCATTAAATTTGATATCAGAATCGATATAAAATAAACAAGTATTTATATATTATAAATATGCAAATAAATTTAGTTTAAATAAATCAAATAATAAATTAATTGTATTTTGAAATACTCACAAAAATTCCAACAATCTTTCTCTGGATTGTACAAAAATCAAGATTAGCACCAACTGTTTGAAATACATGTCAAGAAGATTGCCACATTTAGAGCTGATTGCGGATGAAGAATTCATGTTTGCTGCACCACCTGCACGGCAAATTTGCAATGGCATGCACAGAGTTTGTGCTGCTGAAATTCCTCGTGTGACAATCAAACAATAGATGATGACTAGCTCAATCTTCCATTACGAAGTCGTATATTGTTGTTTTTGCACCACCAAGATAGAGCATCTGCACCTGAAATCATCAGAGGCGATCATGTCGCCGACAATACCAAGCTCCGGGAATTCATTCCATTCATCAAGTCCTGAAGTTTGAGAGGTTTCCATGTTCTTTCTTCTCCCAACAACCAAAAGCTCATATTGGTTCACAATATTCCGAAGTATCGCCACGGTTTGGGGTCCGTTCTCTGCCACTTCCTCTTTGTAGAATGCATAGCTGTCATCGCTAACATAGGCCTCCTTGTAATTCCTCAAGCTCTCCATGTCAAGAATCCTGCCCCAGTCGGGGACGTCACTGTCTGTCGAGGCTGTGAGATAGTAGACGGTTAGGCTGATGCTCGGATCAGCTGCCATCCGTTGAGTTAAGGCCAATGCCTCCCTATCATCTTCGCCTCCCAAGAAGATCAAGGCAACTTTGTATTGCAGTGCTTGTGAGGATGAGGAGGATTTGCCTTGCTGTCTCAGAGGGCCACGGTTCACAAGAATTCCAACAGAGCACGGTGCTCTTTCGAGGACGCTGATGTTCAAGGACCTTATGGTCGGATCCTGTGATTTGATGGAGCCATCCAGAGTCCAATGCCGATGGAAAGGGAGGATCAAGAGAGATGCGAGCCGATCGAGCGCAAGGGTGCATATGTCCTCGTGCATCGAATCGGATGGACACACGGCTGTGAAAGGGTGGACTGTGACAGCTTCACAGAAGTCGCGCTCGAAATTAAAGAAGGAAAGAAGCACGTCCTCGGAGTAGGCGCAGTTGGAGATGGTCTTCCTCTGCATTCTGTGGGAAATGAAAAGAGGGGTGGCTTGGCCGAACATCTGGATGAGGTGAAGGACATAGAGGCCAATGGGGTTGTCTTTGGTTGGACAGCAGGCGTCCAACAAATTGATGACAGCGGAAATGTTGTCTTGTCTGTGAATGCAGGCAAGTATGCGGAGCTCAGAGTTGGATCTGAGACAGGAGACGTTTCTTTGCTGATAGCCTGCATACTTCCTGGATGGTTTGTACAAGTGCTTCACAAGCAATGGCACAAAGCATGCGTTGATTAGGATAGCAAATACCATGAGACAATAAACCTCGTTGTCCAAAGTCTCGCCATCAGTGGCCAAGTTGCCCAACTCAACAACACCTTTGCAGCTCAAGATGAGAGCGAGCACGAGAGCATCCATGAGAGGCATCTTGCAGAAGACCGCAGGCACGAAAGTGCCTACCAATTTGGCGGCGGTACTCACAAGTAGGAGGGTGGCATTGGCCTTGACAACATGGCTTTGAAAACTCATGTCTTTGGGATTCACCAGCAGCACATTGGAGGTTACAAAGAGCGGGAGAAGAACAGCGGAGACCATGAAATCGTACCTCTGAACGAGACTGGAGCCGAGCGGGGGACCATCAGGGGCAGCCAAGCCAAAGATGAAAGGGCCAAAGTAGAAAGATTGATCCAACCAGTAGGAAAAGAGGCCGGTGATTAGGGCGACGAGCATGATGAAGAAGAGGTAGCCTTTGTGAACAGGCTTTCCTTTGGGAGTCTGCTGGATGATCCAATTCATGGCAAGGCGGGCCACATAAACAACAGCAAAGATATAGGCGATGCTGGATGATCCAGTTCATGGCAGGGCGGGCCACATAAACAACAGCAAAGATATAGGCGAGCATGAAGAAGGCGGTTTGAAGAGTAGGAATGAGGCCAGCGGTTTGGCCTTTGTTCAAGGAACGGGAAGCGAGACGGGTGAAAGATCGGAGAAACAAGCTCAAGATGTCGCAGACAATAGCGGAGGAGAGTCCTAAGCGGCCAAGTTCAGAAGTGAGGAGTCTGAGTTCGCCGAGGAGGCAGGCGATGACAGGAAATGAAGACTGGGAGTTGGTGATGGCTGAAAAGACAAGGTTGGATATATCTTTTCTGGTGAGCTGGAAAAGTTTTGGATGGGTGAGGAATTTAAGGGAGAGAAGGCTGAGAATTAAAGGGATAAGCGAGGCGAAAACGCCAGTGTACAAGGCCTTCCTCCCTGTTCTAAGCACGATGCTTATGTCCATTTTCACTCCTATCAGAAACAAAAACATCGAGTACCCAAACAGTGTCAATGTGCCAATTACGTTCTGACTCACAATGATCAAACCTGCCTGCATGCAATTTGCAATTTACACCAGCGTCAATTAACGCTTGCTTGCTAAGCTTACTAACTTGTTAGAGATTGAGCGAGCGCTATTATAAATTAACGTACCAGCATTTGAGAGACAAAGACGGGAATTCCAAAACACCTGAGAATGTGATGTAGGATTTGGGTGGTGAAGAAAGCCAAACCCATTTGCCTTTCGAGGACTGGAAATGTAGAACTTCCGTCTCCACCAGAAGTTAGCACCGCACCACCATATCTCCAAATACCGGCTGAGTGAACTCTGGGAGGGATTTCCACGCAAACAAGGGCCATATTATCCTCTGTTACGTTTAACCACAATACTTCTGAAAGATTCTTCATGATTTATCTCTCTCTTTTTCGTATATGTTATATCGGACAGATATATAGCAAGGAGAGAAATTTGTGAAATAAAATGGTATGAGATCAGCTTTGATAAACAAGGAGAGAAATTAAATGTCCCGTAGCAGTTGCCGCCGCGTTTGTTAGTTTTCACGACCAGCTTTGATCAGTTCTCACGAACAGAACGGTGGCATTTGTTATACTATACTAAAGACACCAAACTCGCTTTAATCTTGTTCATTGGTAGTATTAACATAACATCCTCCGGTATGTATATATGTATGTAAGAATAACGAACAGCTTCAACTAACAACCACCACATGGCTGTTGAAAACAAGAAGTACTGCCTGTGCTGCTCTTCAATTTATAATATTCATTAATTAGTTATTAACTAATGTCTAGTTTGCCTAAGATTGCTCTGAATTTTCCTTGAACAAAAACATGATGCCATGTAACAGAGAAAGAATAGGTGAGGAAAACCTCGTTTAAATCAAACAATATGTTAACTGGAAATAACGGTCTTACAACAATATCCCCCACATACTAAAAAGAAGAATGTTACAACATTGACGCCTATGTTAGCCAAAATTGTTCTGCCCCTACTAAAAAAGGGGTCTATTTTAGAGTATACTCATCTCTCCACCACAGATAGTAAAGACAATATTCATATCCTTCATTGTTGTACTTCGGGTGCCGCATATCAACTATCTTGCAGCCTCCACTTATTTAATCTGGCAACTTCCTCAAAAATTCCACAAGCAGTATCCCATAAATCATTTAAACTTGATTCAAGACATAGCCCATAATAGGAGTACCCCAAGGTTGGAAGTAACTACTCCAAAAGTAACCTTTACCCCTATGATGAAAGTTTTCCGAAAAGGATTCCACTGAAAATAATAGCACCAAACCACTTGTTCGACACAAATCTGGAACCAAGACAAGAGCAACTGCTGAGGCAAGCTGATCATGTTAAAAGCAAAACAAAGTAAAGAAAGCTTAAACCTAAATGAACTTTTCCTTCCCTAGAGTATGAAGTCCTCCAAGTTACATTCTTGTTTTTTCAAAATTTACCTTTTTTGTTTCTCTTTGATTGGAGCTAAGTAATATGGCAAAATTAATATTGATGCAATACACCTATTTAACCTCTATGAATACTTGAAATCCAGATCATATCACAAAAATACGCACTTTCTGTTGCAATCAACTCGGGATGAAAGGTCGGCAGTCCATATCTGCCAAGCTAATTGTCCAGATGCAGCCGCCAAAAATGCATAGTATGGCCACCCTGCTCCATGGTTGAAAGATTGGTGTGAGTATGTGGCAGAAGGAAAAAGAATTGGATTGAAGTTCCAATAACGGTAAAAGAAAAAATTATAAAAATAAAACAAATAGAATATGAAAATAAAGGAGGAAACAAAACCAATTTCAGCATTATATCCACTGAGGGCAAGACTGCTGATGCACATAATTCCAAACCCAGTAATCCACTCCTTAGTTGAATCACCAAATCTCAATGCTGTAGACTTAACACCTACTTTCAGATCATCTTCCTTATCCTGCAAGTATAGTCAGAAACATCATTTGTTGGATTGCGTTGAAAAAGTTCTCTTATTCCTGCATATTCCATAGTTTCATCACACACAAATCTTGGAAACTACAACTTCTGACCATGGGAGTATTACAGTGACATATTCGCTTTACCTGATGTGCGTATATCGTATCATACACAAGCGTCCAGAAAACTCCAGAAAGGTACAATGGGAGCACTATAGCTGGATCAATGCTTCCTTTAACAGCAGCCCATCCTAATAAAGCTCCCCAATTAAAGGTCAAACCTAGATAGGCTTGGGGCTGCACCAAACGTGATAGCATTTACCAATTAATTAGTCCACTGTTAAGTTTCACATCAAATTTAACGGAAGAAGAAAACTTCAGGGTACGTTAAGAAACCAGAGGTTTGATTACCCAGAATGTCAACCTCTTCATGAGAGGATACGAGAAAACTAGCAACAACGATGAAGCCCCCAAAACGCGGCTGTCAATTTCAATTAAGTAAACAGAGCTTCATGTGCGTGCAGATAATATCGGTTTAACTAGATTTATTAACTAAAAGGCTACGGATGAAAGGGCAGATATACAAAGTAAACTAACCTATAATTATTCAGTTGGAGGAGAATTCCAAGACCCAAAAGCAATTGAAATCCAAGAAAACAAAGCCCCTTAAAAGGAGTCAAAAGACCACTTGCAACTGGCCGCAACTTTGTACGTTCTACCTGGAGTTAAAAGAGAAAGGTACTCACCACCACAAGATAGAAAACCAAAGTAAAACAACATTATATTCCACGAGAAAACAGGCAATGAAATTAAATGCAAAGGCCATTGGACATTACCATGGTATCAATATCCCGGTCAAGGAGATCGTTTATGGTGCATCCAGCGCCCCTTAAGAGCAGAGCCCCACATCCAAATAGTGTCATCATCTTAATATCAGGAAGGTGTCCAGGGCATGCTGCCAATGTTATTGACCTGCACCAACAGGCATGTCTTTTCAGACAACTTCAACATAAACAAATAAATATATCGTTGCCAATGTTTAGAGATCACTCTTGTTTTTATTTCAGCAAGTAAATTCAACAAAACGAAATTGCCATCAGTGAAGGAGGTTTCAAAACTCAAACTTTCCTCCACATTCCTTCACTTTCCGTCAAACCAAACAATGCACTGCAGAAACCAAACTTAAAAAAGTTGAAGTAAGAATCGCTTACCACATACAAGGCCATGCGAGCAACCAGGTGCCAATGGGCCTGTCGAGGCGAGCGAGCTTCGCATAAGGGCGAGCTTGTCTCGGCAAATACAAGTCGATCCAAGAAGCCTCAACTTCAACCTTGGCGTCATTGCTGGCCCGATTTCCGTCGTTCTTGGCGCCTGTAGATGAAGACGAGCTGGAGATGTGCGCTAGGAGTCTGAGATCAAATTCGACGCAACTGGGAGTCCAACGGTGCCTTTGGGTGAATGGGCCCAACAGGGTTGCGTTGGCATAAGGGTTAGGATTAGGATTTTTCGAGGTGGTGGTGGTGGTGGTTAATTGGTAAGTAGAAGAAACTGCAAATAGGGTGCGGGAGGAAGAATGTGAAGGTTTCAGAAACCTACGCGAAGCTCGAGAGACCAGCCAAAACGACGCCATTTTCAGAATTCACTCAAATGCATCACTCAGTCTCCGCACCATACTGTTTAATTAAACCCCAAAAAAAAAAAAAAAAAAAACCCCCTC